TTTCTATGCGTGTGTGTGTATATTTGCCTGTATGAATATATATATATATATATATATATATATATATATATATATATATGTAAGCAAATATATGGATATAGATCCGACAGTATGAAGAAAAATATACGGAAAAAAAATCCTAATATGCAATTATGCTGTTTTAATGTTAATATAATGTCAACGTCGGACGTTTCATGTTGAATTGAATATGCTCTATGTTAATTATGTTTTATATGTCCTGAAGATGGTCTATTAGATCGAAACGTCCGACGTTGACATTATATTAACATTAAAACAGCATAATTGCATATTAGGATTTTATTTTTTTTTTCCGTATATTTTTCTTCATATATATATATATATATATATATATATATATATATATATATATATATATATTCATTTGAATTTCTGTAGTTTACTGCTACCAGCAAGCAGAAATATTTCTTCTCCCGATGATGGCCATTTTGGCCGAAACTAGTCGAGGAATCTAAATGAAATAATAATAAAAAAAAACGAAAGAATATTAATCTACAACCCAGTGTGTCTGAAGATTTTAATTTTTTAATATTTTTTATTGTTCAATATACATATATATATATATATATATATATATATATTATATGTGTGTGTGTTGCTGATGCTAAAATCTGAAATTCCCTTTGTCCTTATTTTTTTTTCTTTTACAAGCTTAGTAGACTGCTACAGCATTTTCTCGTAATATGCTCCGTATCGTTCGATATGTCAGTTGGAAAAGCGTCCTGGATATGACGATAAACTGCATCCGCGTCCTCGTTAAGACGATAAACTACGTCCAACGGCAAGGCCTCTGATCAGAAGGTTTTGAGGAGCGTGGAACCATCAGCATATTAATTGTCTGATGTTCCCAGGTCCACCCTGACATAAGGTTTTATAGCACCTGTTAGGGTCCTAGCTATGGGCAATCATCAAAAACCCTGAAACTGACATTAAAAAATATTATGCCCATATATAAAAATAGGTTTTAATACTAGAAATACTTTGTAAAAAAATTAATACCAGAAATAAAATTTTTGAAAAAAAAAACAATTACCAGCAATACGTTTTTGGAAAAAATAGTACCGGCAATACATTTTTTAAAATAATATTACCAGGAAAAAGAAAGTTGTCGGCATTAAATGACCCATTGAGGTTGATATGCCGTAAAACAAAATAAACCAAACAAACCAATCAGTTGGAAAAATCGTCTTCTTGAATTATATAAATCTAAAACGGTTAATACTTTTGATTTTCTCGAACGGCTTGTTGCATAAGAAATAATTATAGCAACAATACAGACTTCATAAAGAAAAATAAAGAGTTGGTCTCCGGAAAGAAGCGATTTTGAAAAGCAGAACTGAACGCTTATCTATGGAGATTGCGTACACTGGCTTTTTATCTGCTTCAAAAAAGCGCCCAGATTACGTTCTGTAAAGATTTAAAGCCAAGTTTCAAAATAATGTAGGAAAAGAAAACGTAAATAAACAATTTTCAAATTCATTCCCGTTAAAATAAAAAGAGGATAAAATAGTTACAGGCTGATGAAAAGACGAATTGAAACAAATAACGTAGTAACAATGAAATGCAAAACATAAACCGATGCAGAATCGAGAACAAGAAAAGGCAGAAAGATACAGTCAATTAAAAAAAAATGTCGGAATAAACAGAAAAAGATAAGAAAATGATTGGATGTTAGGAAAAAAAAAAACAAAGAAAGAATGAGAAAAAAAAAGAAAAGAGAAAAGAAAGAAAATGAAAGACAAGGAAAAATTAGTTGAAAAGTCGGAAGGCAATAAAACAAAAAACAAAAGAAAATGAGAGACAAATTAAACAAAAAAAAAATAAATAGATTTAAGACAATGAAAAAAAGACAAAAGAAAAGAAAAAGAGGACAACGAAATAAAAAAAAAAGACGATGACGGTATAAGTGACAAAAAAAGAAGACGAAAAATAGTTTAAACAAAGGAAGACAGAAAATAAAAAAAAAAGACGTGAACAAACTTTCTTAGCAGCAGACCTAGCAATATAGTCTTTCTACTTTAGGTCAGACAAGAATGTTAGCCCGAGAAGGCACAGCGAGTCACTCTCCTAAAGGTTTAACTTATACGTGTAACAATAACAAAAAAATAATATATTAATTTCCTTAAATTCCTGTTTGGAAACAATCTCTTCATGGAAACCGAAGAAGTAATGTCTTTATAGGAAAATACCTAAAAATGGCGCATATTTGTTAAATTTCGATAGAATGAAGAGAATACAAAGGCCTTCACTTCTAAGTTTATAATGCAATGCATATTTGTGCTGATTGATTGCATAAGAAAATCGATTGAATCGAATGATAGAAATGATTAAATTTTGCTCGGCACAAATAAAAATTCTGCCAAAAAAATTGTGAAAATAAATATGACGTCATTGTGACGTCAATTCAAACTGCCCATCTTCCCATTGATTTGGTCAGAAACTTGTCGACTTGTTCGATGTGTTGCAAGCGATTTTACAGTATTTTTAGCTGATTTAAATATATTGTAATTGAATGAAATTTGGAAGTCCACATTTTTTATAATATTCAGTGCCATATTCTTTTAAGACTACAATGCATGATTAGAAACTTCGGAAATCATTTGAAACGAGTTTAAGTTTGAAAAAAAAATGTCGCATTACTAAAAAACATTAAGATTTCATTAGAAACAAAGAAAAGTGTACTGAATTGTTATGTAATATCAATCTTTCTGCATGGCAGTGAACGCTGGGCAATCTTCTCTGAGATGAAGAGAAAACTGGAGGCAACAGAAATATGGTTCTACAGAAAGATTCTGAGAATACTATGGATGGAGCGCGTAAGCAAGGAAGAAGTCTTCAGGAAAAACAAAAACAAAAGAAACATATAATTAGAAAGAGAATGTAGAAATATCTTGAACATATAATGAGGAAAAAATTTTAAGATGAATTTGATTAATATCACAGAACATATCAAGGAAAGTAGAGACCGGAAAGGGTAGCGGGTCAACTGCCTGACGAGCTTTTGTGAAGAGAAGGCGGGACGGGACGTAAGAGGATTAGCAAAGAGAGAAACCTATTATGTAAACACACACATTTTGGAAAGGTTGACGCAAATCCATGATCGTTACGTCCTTTTTTGGCTTTGGAAAAGAAAATTTTATCATTTTTAGCTAAACAATTGTCTATATACTCGGCTTTATTCGAAATAATATTTTCACTTTTTGTTATAGATATTATAATTATTAGCTTAACACAAGGCCACAAACATAGGGCACCTAGTGGGCACCGAACTCAACTTTGTCGTGTATCCTTTCAGGGCATGGACGATAATGGCTCTCCACAACATCCTATAATTTGTAACTTTGAGAACTTTGATCCATCACAATCAATCTCATTAAGTAGATTTCTCGATATTTCCTTCTGACCTTCATGCCTTTAATCCGTCCTATGAGTGTCAAATTTTGTGGCACAAGGCCGAAAAAAGTGGGGAGACTGGTCAAGGTTTGTCATCATTAACTATCATATACCTAGCTAATCGGATTCACAACCCATTCATTCGTTACAATATATACTTATTTACCATAAAAATCCGTCACCATTCGTTTTCATAATTCAAAATACCTTACGCATTTTGGGGACCTACTGAATTTTTCTGTTCACACCTTTGAGTCCTAAGATGTATTTACAATTGGACCAATTTTTTTTTTATTTTACGGCATATCAATCTCAATGGGTTATTTAATTTCAACATTTTTTTTTACTTTATTTTTTTTCCTTCAAAAAATTGTTGATTACTATTTTTTTCCTTCAAAAATGTATTGCTGCTACTATTTTTTCATTAAAAAATCATATTTGCTACTGTTTTTTTCATTCAAAAATGTATTGAGTATAAACTATTTTCTTCGTTGAAAAATGTATGACTGCTAATATTTATTTCTTTCCTCAAAAATGTATTGCTGCTAATATTTTTTCTTGCAAATATGTATTGCTGCTAATATTTGTCTTCAAAAATTCATTAGAGGTAATATTTTTTTTACAAAAATATATTGATGGTATTAAAATCTATTTTTACACTTTCATAATGTTTTGACCTCAGTTTGAGGTCAACAACTATTTGCCCATAGCTGAAACCCTAACAGGTGCTACCACTCCAGGTCAGGGTGGACCTGGGAACACCAACAATTAGGACTTGGTTCCACGTCTGTTGGATGTAGTTTATCGTCTTACCCAGGACGTCTCATTTGGGTGAGAGTCTTACCCTCTGCAGAGGTGCAGTCGGCGTATTCATGAAGTCCCAGCCTACAGGGCGGCATGTACAATTATTATGTATTATATATATATATATATATATATATATATATATATATATAGAAGAGAGAGACTTAGATAAAAGAGAGAGATAAAAAGAGAGATTTATTTGATGGGGGGGATGATGACCTCTAAAAAGAAGGAATGATATTAGTAGGACCCGTCCACCCTACCAAAATAAAAGCGGCCTCTTTATTCTGCCTTCCATTTTTTTCAAGAGACTCTCTGTAAAAAAAAAGAAAAGGGAAAGGATAAAACATTATGGGCATTAGAAAACCCATAATTTCATTTGTCTTATTCTGATTATAAGGATTCATTTTTCCTCGTTGCGCAACATGCTCCTGCCATGTTATTCTCACCAGCCTCCTATAGAGCCACCTTTTTGCTTATTCAAGTTTTCTTTTCATCTGGGAGAAAATTGTCCATCATTCACTGTCAAATCGGAGTATCGATATTACATAACATTTTCGCATTTTTTTCCTGTTTCTTAATTCTTTGTTTAGTTTTTGGAAGGCATCTTTCACTATTCTAATGCTCAATTATATTTTCGGTGTCAGATTTTTCGCAAATAGTTAAAAACCTTTTCATGCTGACATCTGCAATTTGTAGCTCCCATCTTGTTTTGTTTTGCTAACAACCATACACTCTGTATGAAACTCATTACGCAGTGGTTT